ATTATATATTTTTCGAATTAAGTATTGTTTTCGTGACTAACAGTTAATCAGTAGTATGAGATGTATTCGCTTAATTTCGTTAAAGGTCATGAAGCACTGGTAGAAGAAGAATTTTCCCACAATCGTATGAATTGAGCTGACGTCACATAGCATTGCATTGACATCATACTTCAACTTGTTTTAATTTTTGTCTTCAAGCCATCAAGAATTTATTTATCACTTTGCATCATAATTTGCATGAGCCTAATTTTTATTATATATGAAGTCCGAGATTATATATTTTTTCGAATTAAGTATTGTTGTCGTGACTACATGTAAATCAGTAGTATGAGATGTATTCGCCCAATTTTGTTTAAGGTGATGAAGGAATGGTAAAAGAAGAATTTTCACACAATCGTATGAGCTTCCATTTCATTTCACAAAGTCTTGCTTTCCCAAAAGTTGTTCTCATCCCAACAGGAGTGGACTGCAGTTTAGACCTCGCATCAACTGGTCATATCAACACCCCAGCAGCAGTCGAACCGTGACAGTGCAGAATGGGAGCTAGACACGAAACAATACTTAAATGTATATGCTTTATTTTCAATGGTTACTTAACGAATAAACTCGAGACTTCGCTTTGGTATCTTGTTTGTCGTCAAGGTTAGCAAATAATTGCATGGCTTCGTGAGAAGGTCAACTAAGACAAGAAGCATTTCTAGTTCGTAAATTATCGGCTTTGCTGTTCGGAAACATAGCAAAGAAAGCTCAGGAGAATTCACAACTTTCGTGAATAGATGAAGTTTATTCACCCCATTTCGTTTCACTCTATGCGACTTGCAGTCGAGTTTTTCCACAATGCTATGAGTAGACCTCAAGTGTCCATTCCATTTCACAATAGCTGGACTTGTCAAAAGTTGTTATTAACCAGCGAACCACAATCACATGAGTAGAGCTGATGTTTACATTTAATTTCACATAGCCACGCTTTCTCAGAGCGGCAGCGCATATACACGCTAACACACACATATACACACACGCACCCACTCGAAAATAATTAACAGGATTAGTATGAAAGATAATTAATCAAACCAGTATATATTTATCAAGATTTTTTTAAATTTTGTATAATTGAGTATATATACGAGGTAAGATATAACTGGAGACTTTTACAAGAATGACACCGAGCTCTGATGATGTTCGTGATTCGTCCGTCCTCTTCCGGTGAGATCGAGCAAAGAATTTCTTCTTCATTCATTTTCACACGAAATTAAAGTGCTCCCCAAAATGTTTTATTATTTGCGTTGACATTGTACTTCATTTCGTTTGAATTTTTGTTTTCAAGTCATCAAGAATTTTTTTATCACTAGGCATCATAATTCGCATGAGCCTAATTTTTATCAGATATAAAGTACAGGATTATATATTTTTTGAATTAATTATTGT